AAGAGCACTGATTTATACATCGGCCGGTCTCTACAAGTATAGGCCATATCGCATGCGATAAACCACTAAGATTCTGAGTGCAATTAGAATGCGCCGTGCCATTTTACTTCCATTTAGAGTCGGGGTGGTTTTTCAAGTTATTCAACCAGTACGGCAGCCTGTGGAGGTCAGCTGATATAGAACCTACTGTTCTTATCATCTCAGGCGAGAGTGTAACTAGCTCACCGGCTCCATGTTGATGAAAGGTCTAGGCGGCCCAAGGTGTTCCACCATTCGCGGCCGATACATTTGACCTGTGACCGTGTATATAGTAAACGGCGCCAGTTTGTGTGAAACAGCTTTTTCTAGGTACTTCTTTCACTGGTCATCTCCATAAGCGGTTGTCGATCAGCTGGGGTTCTATGTGGAATGGTTGAAGAAGCAAAACTACACCGCGATCTTCATACGGCATTCCATGAAATGGACTTACCTCAGAAGGCATAGCACGTCGTTCAAGGCGTCTCATCGTTAACTTGTCCTTGCCATTGCTCTGCTTTTATTGACAATAATGTTTCCGTTACAGTAATCGTGGAGACATGAGATTCGTTTCATTAAGGTATTCGTGATATCAAGCATGTATACTCGAGATCCCTGAGATCGGAGTAGGCGGGGCTGCATTCTTCAACTTAACCTGAAGGTGTCTATGCTTCTGGTGGAATATTTCCATCTTGACACAACTGTTGTCGTGTCTCTGTCCAACACAGAACAAGATGACAGTTGTCCCAGACTGGAATATTCCACGAGTAACCAGTTCCGTGCCATGTTCAAATGCCACGCCTACTCTGGCTCAGGGATATGGAGTGTATTTCTACACTGACTCAACTCGTGCCACAACTGTGAACGTTCTCGTTTCACGGACTAGAGAACGTTATTATAAGAGTTCAATTCAAGTTGTCTTTTTAGATTCACAATTATGGTAAACATGAAGTCACAGACTTAAGGTTGTTTCCGAAGTTCATGGAAGTGAAAATAGTCAGAATAGAAAAGTTTGCCTCCATCGCAATTCTATCATTCCAACCGATTCCCTGGAATAAAGATGCTCACTGCCGTATTTATTCAATGGCTTCCAGCGTGTGGTATCTTTATGAATTGTTTTGTTAGTTGTACCTCTCTGAAAACAAGATTGAATAAAACTCGCATTTCGAGCTTTGCTCTTGATAATTCTTTCCGGAAAATGCCCTCGAAGACCGATCGCAGGGTAGCGATTCCATTTTTGAGGTTCGACAGTCATTCGGCTTCAACGCAGAATCGTGAAGACGATTTTT